TTTTTTTTTTCAGATGCGGTAAGTCCAAAATTAAATCTTAACCGTTAATGGATTTCGTCCATAATAGGGAAAAATGAATCAAGGTTAGTAACCGGATTACGTTTAATGATAAAGCGGTGAATAATCATAGGATTCATAATAGGATCGAAGGGGCTATACAGTGTTTGCATGAAATTACGCGGTTGAACGCCGATGACGATAGACAGCGTCTTCGGCGTGTAGGACGAAGATGCAATCCTCTGGCGCATTAGCACCGGTGCAAGCTGGCTATCAATATTAACAAGATAGTAATCGGATGCCAGATGTAGAGACACGTTCGATCGATTATAACGGATAACTGCTCTCTTGAGAAACAAATCGATAGAATACTGAAATGTGTCCAGTATCATTGTCGTTTTTCCGCTGACTAGTAATTGCACCGCAAAATTTTATACACGAGCAGCTTCCTCGCGTTCGCGCGCTCTGCAAAAAGACTAAGTACGCCGAGTTGATAATAAGGCCATGAATAGTGATGAGTCGGGATATGTCACATACTCGAGAAACTATGTCTCGGCATGGAATTTTAGATTCACGTCACGTTAGCACCTGTCCAATTACACCGCCATTAATCTTACGTTTAAGTTAATAATGTTTTCGATCGTTTTTCTCTTCTTGACATATTTTCGATGTAATCGAATTAAGATGAAGTGCAGCATATTAAATTGTTTGGCAGAAAGATTACTGAAAGATATATATCAAAGGCACTTAGTTAATTGGAGTAAAAATATAAAATAGGACGAAAATGTATTAATCTCTTTACACCACACGTCCGGTGTAGAAAAATTTCAAGGAAAAACTGGTTACTAATAAAAAACTGGATAGTTTTTCTTGGGTAGGATTAATTAGACAGTAACTATTCAAAACTTGTCCAGAAAAGTTACGGGCCATAAACTATGCACGAAAAAATAGTAATAAAATACTATATATAAAATAGGACGAAAATGTATTAATCTCTTTACACCACACGTCCGGTGTAGAAAAATTTCAAGGAAAAACTGGTTACTAATAAAAAACTGGATAGGATTAATTAGACAGTAACTATTCAAAACTTGTCCAGAAAATTTGTCCAGAAAAGTTACGGGCCATAAACTATGCACGAAAAAATAGTAATAAAATACTGTCCAGTTTCTGTCCAGTAAAAATTCTGAAAATACTAGGTAGTATTTCATGAGCAATTTTTGGTCAGGAACTAGATAAGAAAAATAATAAGTAAATACTGTCCAACTTCTGTTCAGCAAAAATTCTGAAAATATTGGGCAGTATTTCATGAGCAGTTTTTAGTCACAAACTAAGGAAGAATCAACAGTAAGTATAAACTATATTATATATATGTATATTAGAAATTAAAAGTAAAAAAAAATATTATTGTTTACTGTTTATAGGGAGAAAGTGATTAACATTTGTTGATTATGTATGTTCCTTCTGCTTTTTTCTTATCACTAATAAATTCAATTAATGTATAACTTTTCATTTTAGAAATTTCGTTTTATTAATATTTACTGAAAATTATTCACAATTATGACTAACAGTCGAAGTATCAAGTTTTTCTGTTACCATAGTAACGGAATAAATATACTATAGTAATAGAAAAACTTGATTCTTCGACTGTCAGTCATAATTAAAACGCAAAACGTGAAATTGTAAATATTTAAACAATTTAAGTAAAATGGATACGTTTATCAACAGCAAGAGAAAAAGAAAATATAAATATATAAAAGCAGCTGTTAAGAAAGATATGCGTAACTTATATATTACATGTAAATATTTCCTAATATCTCGTAATATCTAATTTTTAATTTATATTGTGGAAATGTCTATTAAGGAGGCCTGACTCGAAGCTTTGTGATCGGCCGAAGCATTTCGTCCTGGTCCCACACTACTAGGCTCATCAGTAAGGCGATGTAGTGTGGGACTTGCCTTAAGCCGTAATCACACTAGCGATTGGCATTTAATATATTACTTTAATTTAATTATATTAATTTAATTATTATTATATTTCTATAAAAAAATTGCTTGGAAATTGGTTAGGAACTAGTTAAGAATAGACCTATTTAGAATTTTCTCTGAAAATTAGTTAGAATTAGTCATAAATTGGTTAGAAAATGACTAAAAAATCTTTTATAAAACTAGTTAAAAACTGATCAGAAACTAGCCATAAACTGTTTTGAAAATGGTTATCAACTGCTTAAAACTATTCATAAAATAAAAAAATTAAGAAACTAGGTAGAAACTCTTTAAAAAATAATCAAAAAGTGGTCAGATACCAGTCAAAATCTTATTAGAAATTGACTAGTTTTACTGTCCAGTTATTGGCAAAGCAAGCGTCGCCCAAACTTGTCAGTTTCTGGCCAGTCAAACTAACAAGAAACTAGCTAGTAACTAGAATTCCTAGCCAATTTCTGACTAATTTTTGGTTTATTTTCTACTTGGGGTATATCGAGAACTAACTTAGGTTTATTTAGGAGGAATTTAGAAAACACACTATAATTGAATAGATTAAATATCTATTTAAGCTCAAAATCGGATATTCAGATATATAAGCTTCAGCTGCTTGATCGTGACGTTTCACACGTTATGCAAACTGCTACATTTTAGATTCGTTGCCAAATTGAATAATCATAAAATTTTGATTGTTGACCGAACGTATTTTCAAGAGGGGTCGCCTCCGAAGCAGAAAACCGAGCGGATTAATCATTAAGTATTGAATAATCATGAAGTTAATCGTGCGACGCGCGAGGTGTCTTCTTGCTAGCGGAGGGGAACGACAAAGTCACGCAGTCCCTCGACGCATTAGCGCCGGCGCGAGTGGTCCATCAATATTAATAAGATCGTAACCGGACGAACGTGGATGTATAGAGACGGCCGATCGAATGGCCAATTTGACTAGCGGTTAGGCGAGCTTTTTCGTCTCGCCTTTCAGGACGTGTATCGCCTCTTCTTAACGTCGTAAAGCGAGACGGGGATCGTCGTCGCATTAATGAACGGGGTACGCGTCGCATCGCTACGGAATCGTCCCCTGAGGGGACGTGCCGGCGAATGAGGCTTAAAGTGTCGTAATAGCAACGGCGACGTGGTCCATAAACATTACCCGACGACGGTAGACGACATTGAGTTCACTGGAAACGTGTTCCGTCGCCGTCGGCGATACTCGTGTGCGGCTCCCTCAAAGGTAAACGGTATCGGGCACATTTGATGTTTGCAGTCGCCATCATGTGGACAGAATCTACTCCAAGTGATCTTGGTTGATCGTTTGCGGACGAATATATAGGGTGTCTCCTTTTCAAACTTCTATCTATATTTTGGATTTTTTCGGTTATTTATTCAATAAGAAACTGAGAAGAGGAAAAAATTTCCTAATTAAATAAGAGAAATTCTATATTTGATCAGAGCGGATCTTTAGTACTTAAATATTTCGGTGCGAGTTTATATACATATCTCTTCTGCAAACCAAAATCTTTTTTGGTCTTGAAACACATTCATGAATAGAATCAAAGTAATAATGTCATTTATTAAATTGATAAACAATTATATAATTTTTGATGTTAATACGTTAATATTTCTTATAAAAATAATCTGATGTTAATGAGAATCTTTTAAATCTGCGAATAGTTTATTGCAAAAAAATACTTGTTCAGCGGGATTCGAACCTACAAAGAATTGTCTTTGTAAAGACATACCTATATTTGTTTTATCAAAATTGCAAGTCATGGAACAGTAGTTAAACTTTGGAAGTCCTTACATTTATGAGAGATTCAATCTGGAAAATGCCCTAAACGTGGTAGTGGTGCATCGATCGCGGTTCGTCGCTACGGATATGAACGGAATATACTGCTGCTAATGCATAGTACACAGTAATGCCGGTATCCTAACTTTACGGCGTCCATCACGAACTCGTTCCGCTCACCGCAGCTGCTCCCGCTAATACTTCAACGTGGGCTTCGCCGTTAGTCGAGAGACTCGTAGCAGATTCTCTCGCGAGCAGACGAGCGGAAGGCTCGAGGCATGCCGTAGGACGGGCCCGACAAAGTGGCGCACCGACGGTACGAAATTAGCTTACGGATTCGCGATAAGCGGCTTACGTTTCAAGCAAGGATAATCCCGCGTTTCGCAATCGATTCTTGATCGTCGAACACTTTGAACTCACGCTCGTCGAATCTCGCTCAGGCGTATACGCGTTGCTTTAACTGCACTCAAATAGAATGGACTGCATTCTATCTAGCTCCGGAATAACGATCTCAACAGCTTAGCCGAAGGAACGATGGCGCGATTATTTTGGGCCAATGAGATCGGGCCTATTTCGATCGTTCTGTAACCGCGGCTGGCTATTGCAGCTGCAGCATCAACTGGCGTCGGTAGATGTGCGAATCGACGTCGGCATCACGTCATAAATCACGATAGCGGCGAATGTTTTTGCCAAAATGGTCTCGCGTGCATCGATCCGATGGTCTGTCAGTTCTAAAAAAACCGCACAGTTTTTCGTACTCGTGTTATGCTGCCTTGAGGTTCGATATAAGAATACGCGAGAAGTTGAAAAAGTCTTCGAATCGAATGGAGTCTCCATTTTTTTTTCATAATTATTTCCTCTATATATTGCAAAATATTTCCAAATTGCAGAGTATATTCAAAAGATATATAATTCGTTATTTTACTTTGATTTGATTATTTTAAGAATTAAAATTGAAAAACTACAAAATTTGCACGCATATATATATTATAGGGTAAGAGAACTGTTAGGTATAATTTTTTAATTTTTTGCATCTTACCATTTAAGTTTACGATAGTTATAATAGTTTAGAATACAGATTGGACCATTAGGGTAATAGGTAAGTAATGGAGAATCCAATCAGTCCGATTTAGGAACTTGGTTGGAAAACGTCGAACAACTTCGTGGCAGCGTTCTATACCAGTGTTCGTAATCTAGCGCCGCGATAGAGAATCTTTAATTAAGTTAAGGCGCTCACCTCCTTTCCTTTGATGTCTCTATACCGAACCCATTTGCCCAGTCGCGGCCTCCAGTACTCCAACAGATACGCCTCTGCGAATTCAACACCCACGCCGTTTCCGAAACGGCCCTGGGTAGCGGTGGCCGTGATCAAGTGGATAGTATGAAGGTCGATCTCCAGCCACTCTCGAGCTTCCTGGGTGATTTGGTTCTTAGGACACCAGGCACCACCGAGGTTCTCCGATTTCAATCTATAACCATCAACAGTCGAGTATCGAATTAACTTTTGCGCTGATTATTTTGTGATATAAAAGAAACATTAATGCATTTAAATATACATAAATTGTTATTTCATTTTCATATACATGCCATGGAGAACCAATTTTTACGATTTTTTAATAATGATTTGTGATTTTCAATTTTTTAAATAAAAATATAAAATAGCAGAAAAATATTTTCTGTTATTTTATCTTCTCTCATTTTATCTATTATTATATCTTCATTAAAAAAAAATTGAAAATCATAAATCGTTATTCGAAAATGTAAAAGGTCACGAAGAATTTAATAAAACTATTAAATTACTTAAAAACACATAAAACTATCGAAGAATTTTTTTCTCAGAAACCGAATTTAGAGTAGTCGCGTATACGCCCTTCGGTTCGATCTCGTCCGCTCATAAAAGTAACGATCTAATTAGATGTGAAAGTATCGAGTTAGTTCCTCGCCAGTACTGTTCATCTCATGCTATCAGAAGATCAACCGACGCGCGGTCGACCATCGAAGTCCTCTCTCTAAATTCCGATATTATCGCGTTTACGTGCGCAAGAACTCGAGGATTTCGTGCTCTTTCTCGAATGTTATTTCGTTGACGCTATGTGAGCTGCGCGCGCAATGTGAATCCGAATTGCATTTTAATGAAGCTTGGAAGATCTAGAATTAGTATAAAAAATAGTACCTCAAATGGCTTCTTTGTTTTGAAAGAAAACGCACATTCGTAATAATTCAAGGTGTTTGTAGAATACTACTTATACAAATATGACGAAAATAGTGTAAAATTACTATAAAATCATTATAAAATTACCGTATTATATCATATTATTACTCTCTAAATCTGAACCAGTAGATAGTCACTGATATCAGTGCCAAGTATGCCACTGGTAATCAGTGAGTGAAATGCGAAATTCCTAATCTTAGCTAACCTTTATTATGTGATCTAATTAATCTTATTTTAGTGCATAAATTCAATGAATATAGTATTAGAAGATTGAAATTAACATATAAATATTAATATTTTAGGATATATAATGCTCAAACCTTCTTTTTTTAAATTAAATTTCACTGATTATCCAGTGCCAGATACGTCACTGGGTGATTAGCGAATAGTGGCATACTTGGCACTGATATCAGTGATTATCCACTGATAAAATAGATGTTACTTATCAATGGGGTAAGAGAATACGAGAGAAATGATGAATAATCGTAGATGTAAACGCAGAAATGGGCTTTCCGACTCGTTGAGACCATCGAAAATCCGGAAGCTTATTGAGATTTCCAAAGTTTGGTTCGATAACCGACGAATTTACATAGGCGAGAAATCGGAGATATTCGGAGTGACCACGTATCATTTCGCGCAGGTGATATGGGTAGGATAGGAATACGCGGCCATTTAGAATACGCGTTCAAGCTGTGCCCGTCTCGTGCTTCGGTTTTAATCTTCGAGGGGTCGAAAGCAAAGCAAGGAGGGAGTTCTGCGCTGAGGCCGGCATGAATAAAACATGAAGCGCGAAGCGCCTTCCCTAATTGCGTGGACCGTTTAAATGCTCGAGTAAGAGTGCTGCTCCTTTTCGGAGTTACGCCGAGGATACGTATAGTTATATATACGGGCGGGTGTATTCTTCTCAAATTGCAGATTAGGAATCGCCGCGTGAAACGTTCTCGCAGTTTCGGCGCGAGTTGCGCTCTCGGCATACCAATATCTCAGCGTGCGAAAAAGAGTCTCAGAGGGAGATGATATTTCTCGACAATTGCGCCAACGAAGGGATGCTTGTTGGTTATGCGAGACGTTTACTGCGATAAAGTAAGATACCACTTACAACGAAATGGCACAATAAACTGCATTATTATGGCGAGGGATGATGATTATAATAATTTTTCTCGATAATGAGAAACATAAAATAGAGCTATTTACGATGCGTACGCGTCATCGAGGAATTGCATTGCGACTGATCCACGAGGAGTTAATAATCATGCCTCACGTTCATCATTAATCGAGTACGATAACACGGCTGTGTTCTCAGCGGTGCAGCAGTACGGCTGATCACGGTTATAATGGCTACTTTCGCGAGATTTACAACCTGTGTGGCGGAGGCGCCTCTTTATCGTTAACAACCGGCTTGTTCGGGATGATTAGCCGAAGGTGGAGTAGCAATGACAAGGTGTGGATTCTATGATCCTACAGCGTAGTTTTTTATCGTTACGAGAAACGCTTCTTTATTAAGTAAATAATTCCTTGTTGGCAAATGAATCACGAAATTTCATAAAACATTTTAAGGAAGAATCGACTGAATGGTCCAATGATCACGATAAATATCGATCACATAAGGAGATATTACTTCTCCTTACATAATGTGAGATATTGTTTATAGTATAGTTGGTCGAATGGATGTTAATGAATAAAGAATTTTTTCATTTACCGGAAAATTTTTTACGAATTTGCAACAAATACCGATCGATGCTATTTATTTAAAACGTTACTGCTGAGTTTTAATTTCCGTACATGCAGTATGTCGATGATAAGGATCCAATCGGAGTGAAACAAACAATGTAAATTCGACAGAAATGAACAATGAATTAAAACAAATATGTTCAATCATGTTAAATGTTGCAACGTAACGTAGTTTCTCTTACTCGATAAAAATATTGCGCTGTATTATTAGAATAAACAATGAGTTTATAAATGTATTTAAATTATACAAATAGTTACAAACTGCTATTATATATATATATATATATA